CCTGCGCTTTTGGTAACGAATGTCCACGACGGATTAGAACGGAAGCGATCAGGCATTTGATTTTTTTATAATATCTTTTCACGCGCCGATTCAACCTGCCTGTCGAATTTAATCGCGTGTACGCAGAAAGAAAAAAAAACACGAGTGATTGCGTATTGCCGATACTCGCGATACAGATCTCTCGCGTTTGTGAAAGAGAGGAGGAAACCGGGAAACATTGACAATCCGTCCGGTAGTTAGACGATTCAGAAGAGAAGCTCACCTAGAGCGCACTCTGATGAAAAGAAAAGAAAGAAAAATACGAACGAAAAATGTATGGACGAAGAAATGTGCATTTCGCGTTCGCGTATCCGCGTATAACAAATATCAATACTCGCAGACGTGCGCTGCGCTTCAGAAGCGCCACGTATATAACGTTTTTTTCTCCCTTCTTTTTTTTCTTCTTTTTATTACTTCTTATATGTACATACGTATTGGTCCGACGAGTGCTTTTTTTTTTTTTCCGAAGAGAGGAGACCTATCCTTCCCTCCCTTCTTACGAAAATACACGTGTTACTTTTGCTTTTGATATACACGCCACGAATACTAGAACCCGAAGATACGTCCGCGAAAAATAAAGGCGGTCGGTGTTGTCGATGAGATCGTTATCTAACGATTCGGAAGTGTTCGCGACAGATCAGTGCTGGGCAACCCTAAAAATATACATACAGCCTACACGTATATATATATGCGATACATACTGTCTGAAATAGCTCGTATACTAAGTATTGAATAACACAGCTAAAATCTCACTACAGTACTCCTTAGTACACCGACGTACTGGCTACGATCGTTCCTGAATGAAATTTACGGCTTGAAACTCTAAGATATCGGGAATTGCTGTCGTTAGCACGAGCGAGTCCTCCCCATCGCGCGCGCGCGAAATTAACTTCTCGCAGAGACGCGAAATTCCGCAAAAGCAATCGTCCCTCGTTTTGTGCAATACCAGTCTTAACGTTTTGTCAGAAACGCATAAACAAACTACGAATCTGCTCGATTTTTCGAAAAAGTTTCACTCTCATACGTCATCTCCACGCGGCTACTTTTGCGTAGCGCACGAAATAAAACGTCGCCCTCGAGAATTTGCGATAAGTTCCATGCAGCGTTAAAACAGCGAAATCGACTGGCAATTCGCCACATTATCGAGTTCCGATTCGTAACCGAACTAAAATATATCATTAACGTAAAAGAAGTCGCTCGAGAGCGAACATCTATTTCAAACAGTACACCGATCGTTGGAAAAAAAATTCGCAAAACGTAAAACCGCGCCCCGCGCGCATTCGTAGAGAACTCTCTTTAAATATTCAACACATACACACACATGCACATACACACACATGCACATACACACACATGCACATACACACACACACACACACACACACACACACACACACACACACACACACACACACACACACACACACACATGCACATACACACATACACACAATTATCGTCGCCAAACGATAATCTACGATATCTAAACGTGTGCCTTTGCCCAACACTGCGAAAAAAATTGTTGTATGCTTAAAACGAAGAAAAACAAGAAAGAAAAAAAAAACGAGAGAGATCGAAGTGAATAATTAACCGATCGACCGGAACTGCAATTTCTTTTCCTGTAGGTATTCCTAAGGCTAGCTATTTTACTTAAACACTCATAATAAGCTACAAAATATACATATCACTATAATTAGGAGCTGCGCGGTCATATGCACGGAGGCTTTGATCACAGCTTTGTAGTACAATTAATATCTCGTGTAGAGCTGCCCAATGACTAGCCGACAAAAAGATCAATTGCTTTCTCCCATTGCACCACGTTTCCCGATTGGCCGTGAACCAAAAACTGCACACTCCCGAGTTCACTCTCTCTACGCGCACAGTCAATCCCTAATTGATCGCTTATTTAACTTTAATTAACGCGTTAATTATCGCTCGCGGTTAATTAACCATGTTAAATTAATGACGACGACGGGCCACACAAGAGTTAACCAATTGTCCGGTCAATTAACTCAGTTAATCGTCGTAATAAGAACGTGAGTTTTACGCGGCTCTTTCTCACCGGTGAAAGACTCTATCATCGCACCGTGTTCCCTCCTTTCGGTGCGCCTAAACACGCGCGCCTCCACGTAATGGAAATAGAAATTAGGAAAGGGGGAGGGAGGGCGGGGGGGGGAAGGAGGTGTGGGAGGAGGGGGAGAGAGAAAGAGAAAGAGAGAAGAAAGTACGGGGGAGAAAAGAGGTAGGGAAGGGAGAAAGAGATGAAAGAGAGTAAACAATTTACAATCCGTAACAGTAAAAATCAGTCTTACCCAGGTGACTTCGTATTCTTTTTAAATTGAAAGCCTCAGGCATACGCGCGCAGGATCATTTTGATCATTTCACGACGCGGAAACTAAGTAGTCGATAGAGTAAGAAAGAAAGACAGATAAATAGATACAGAGAACGACAGACGGAGAAAAAGAGAACCACAATAGGGGGGTTCGAGGCACGTTTAGTGCGGATATATAGTAGTTACCATGTTTGTTCATTTTGTGTACCTTCGTAGCTCTATAACGCGATCTCGCATACTTAACGCATAGTCAATGAGTTGCACTTCTGAACTGAGGTGGTTCTGCAACTACCTTAGAATCAATTACTCGCGAAAGCGCATGACCGCGTATGAGATGTGCACTTTTCGGAAGCTAACTCGCAGCTTTACGCGCGTTTGTCATGGTTCCCCCGCGCTTGCACCGAAGCTTGTAGCGTTAGTGAACAGGAGGTAATAATAATAAAACTAATAGCTAATAGTGCTCTCGAAGCAGATACCGGGACCACTGTCGATCTCGGCGAGTTTGACTTGTCAATTTCGCAAGCACGAGAGAAGAGCAGATCTCGTGTGTGAATCGTCTCGTGATTCTATCGTCACAAACATGAAACACAGAGATGGAGATCTGTGTTCCCAGTGCTCGCCAATATTGAGACACCAACTCACACATGATCGCTACACCATGGTTTCGGTCTCCGGCTCGAACGAATCAACAGCCTATTGCGCCTTTTATATGATACAACTTTTTTTTACGACGTGAGTCCTCTTACTTCCGCTTTTATATTACATCTCCGTACGCCATACGTATATGTATATACAATATATATATCTGTGTAGAGTACACCTCGATATGTGTGGAAAGTAAGTACAACTATGGAACTGATTCTCGAAGCTGCGTACGATTTATCCTCCGCGAGAAATAATTCCTATCACGGACGCGCAGCTCGTCGAGCGATCGTCCGTGTTGCAAGAGGATAAAACGTTCTACGATTTAAAGAGGGAAAACTTGACAGAAGGAATTCTCGTAGCGTTTCAAGCTAAAGAGAAACCATGACGACTATATGATGGACCGTAGTCGCATGCGGCGCTACACATGCTTGCCAAAATAAACGCGCGCTCTCGCGCGCGCGCGTGTGTGTGTGTGTGTGTGTGTTTGTTGTGTGTGTGTGTGTGTGTGTGTACGTTTTTGTGTACGTTTTGTATGTACGTATGTTTGTTCCGCGTGCGTGCGTCCGTTTAGCGATAATGATGGTAGTAGTTTTTTTAGTAGTATTAATAGTAATACATAATAGTGATAGCAATAGATGGTTAGTGGTGATAGTAGTAGTATAGTAATAATAGTGATAGTAATATATAGTTGGGGAAATGTCGGTGGTGGTGGTGGTGGTGGTGGTGGTGATGATAGAGATGTGATAGTATTTAGTTAGAATAGTAATAGTGGTAGTAGTAGCATTAGCGGTATATAGTGTTACTGTTGTTGTTGCTGTTGTTGTAGTAAAATTAATAGTAGGGTGTCTACCAAACACACCTTCGGTAGAGACCAATGCCGGTAAAATTTTTTGACGGCTACATCGCTCCGTGTGACATTGCTTTCCTTCTCCTCTTTGTTTTGATATCCATCAAAATAGTCAAACCAATAGTTTAAACATTGTAGATAATAATTACTATCTATATCACAGATCCAAGTGACTAAACTCCTTTAAAAATATAATATAAATATGTGTACGTGTGTTGCAATGGTTCGCACAATATATATACACACATATATATATATGTATATGTATACTCGCAGAGACATGATTAAAACCAGACGAAACAAGAGTGCTGTAACTGCTGAAGACTTCGTAGAAACGTCACGCTTCGGTTTCGACTAGCATCGCGCCAGCGATACACGATTAAATGATCGATCAGCAAGACGGAGTCACGTGTCTATGTCCTCGCGCCGGCACAATCTTGTCGACGATGATGATTAAAAAGCCGCGCCTCAGGCAGGTGCTATTTAATCTCGCATTAAAAGATATTCGTGAGTATAAAATTTATTAGACATGGACACACAAGGTGTATTAGTGAGCGTTTGCCGAGCAGTAAATCGATCAACAATTGATCAGCCGCACCATCGTGCCCCTCCTTGGCCAAAACTGAAACCATACTCCTAAATCGTATGACGTATGGGGGGCATCCGTTGTTACGACCCGGAAGTGGATGCTCCAGTAGGCACTTTGATCGAACGACGCGATTAAATAGCACCGTAGTAGTAGTAGTAGTTTACTTCGGCTCGGTATCTCGCTCGGTCTCTCCTCGCTGGTGAGAAGATGTGGATCGACGATGCTAGGTGAAAACTCGCGTTCGTTCAATTGTTACGCTGGACGTACTCCGGATACGAGATCGCGGGGCTCGTATTCGAGTACTGAGCGTACAGATAGAGCGCGGGGTGAAGCCCTGGCGGAGGGATGCCGCGATGCAGCTGATGCGAATGGTGCTGCGACTCCGATGAGTCTAGAGACGGGGACGACAAGTGCGGATAGAGTTGGGAGTTGGGGCTGTCCAAAGAGCTGGAAGAGCCCGTCGTTTGGTAGACACTCTGCGGTGTGGTGTGCTCGTGAGTTATAGGTGAGTTAAGTGTAAACGGCGATGGCGCCGAGGTGGGACATACTACTTGCTGCGGTGACTGATGCGACGGCAGGGACTGGGAGGCACTGCTGCCGTCTAAACACTAGTTGGTGGTCTGCGGATGCAGCAGCGGTAGAGGAAGCTGCAGATTGTTCTGCTTGGCTAAACTGGCGATCTCCGCGGCGATGCCGCCTTTGCCTCCCGCGAGGCCGTCCAACGACGATGGTCCTTCGCTGTAGCGCAGGTCACAGACCGGACTCTCGAAACCGGTGCCCGGTGTGCCGCCGCCACCACCACCACCACCACCGCCGCCACCGCCGCCGCCGCCGCCGCCGCCCCCGCCGCCACCTCCGCCGCCGGTGCTCTGTGGCGTCGGCGGATTGTGATTCGTGTTACTCTGGTTCATGTCGCGATGTACTCGATTCTGATGCCGTATTAGATAACTGTCGCGTACGAATGTACGTCCGCAGATATTGCACTCGTAAGTGGTACTGGCGGGGGGGGTGTGTGTACGAATGTGAATCGCAAATTGGCTCTTGGACGTGAACGTGAGGGAACATCGGTCGCAGACCAACGGTTTCTCCGCCACGTGGCTCCAACGGTGCGCGGTGACGTAGCTCTTGACGGCGAAGCGCTTCTGACAAATGTCGCATGCGTACGGCCGTTCCCCCGTGTGCACCCGTTTATGAGTATTGAGACTGCTCTTCTGAGTAAACCTTTTCAAACACAGCTCACATTGGAAGGGTCGCTCGCCCGTGTGCGTCCTCATGTGCACTTCCAGATAAGGTTTGCGGCAAAAACTCGCCTCGCATACTGTACAATGGTAGGGCTTGTTGCCCGAATGGAGTTTCATGTGCACGTAGTAGGACGAGGCTGAGGACAACACCTTGCCGCATACCTTGCACGGTTGTGGCTTGGACCGAGAGCCTTCTTTCACGGTTTGCTGCCCTGTAGATTGACGACTGGGTGCTTCCTGCTGCATACCCTGACTCTGCTGCTGTTGCTGTTGCTGTTGTTGTTGTTGTTGTTGTTGTTGTTGTTGTTGTTGTTGTTGTTGTTGACTCTGTTGCGTCTGTTGTTGATTCTGCTGCTGAACCTGCTGCTGAGTTGGTTGCTGCTGGTTCAGCTGCAACGTCTGCTGCTGCTGCTGCGGCTGCAGATGACCCTCCTGCTGGGAGAGGTCCTCCCTGTCGTCAGACAGATTCACCATTGAGTTGGATCCGTCCGAACGACTGGAGGCAACAGAGTAGAACCCCATGGGCTCACTCTTGATCTGTTGCTCGAACATAGATGTCATTATGTCGGTCTGCTGTGCTTGAGCCAGCTGCTGAGACTGCTCGTCCTGCTGCTGCGCTGCTTGCTGATGGGGGAGCAGAGTCAGGTTGCGCTTGACAAACTGCTCATATCCTGCGTACCAATCCACCTGTGCGTGAGAATAAGAACGCTAGAAAAACGGTCCGGCGGACATGGAGCAACGCTACGTGCGAGCATTACATCGGGACGGGCCGTGGCGCGCGCGTACGTAACGCGCGCGTACGACGGCGGTGTCAGGTTAGACCGAGTACACATTTGACATTTATCTTTGACAAGTGACAGAAGGTAGTCGGACGATCAGCTGATTGCATAACTTTTACGCGCAAAGCCTTCGTGCACGGCGCGACGCCGTCGCGAAAGGAACCATCCGCGAGCGACGGCGAGCGACGCGAGCCGCTCTATTTTTAAAAAGGCGCCGTGAAAAAACGGCGGAATATGTTGACGGCAGACTGCGCGATTTCTCTCTCTCGCGAGCTGCGGCCAACCGCGGCGAGTGGGGGCCGTGTCTCCGTTGCGCGCTCGACGACGAAAGGATTAAAAGCCCGCCGTCGTTTACGGTACGAACCTTTGCTTAATGTAGTGGTCCAGGTCTAGGGTCGAAAAACGTCGCGCCTCATCAGAGCGCGCGCCTCCCCCGGTCGTCGTGCGGCTTCACGGACAATCGCGAAACATTTGTACAGCCAAATTGTTTTTCTCCGACACAAAATATAAGATGGCTGCTACTATATTTCGCGACGAGCCACCTATATGCGCGCATACGCACACACGCGCGCCGCGCCGCACCGACGTCGAGCGATGCGCGAGCGAGCCTCCCAATTGGTCGCGCTTCTTGCGCCGGACGCGCCGGCCGCGTTTCCGAAACGCTTCGTGAATCATTCGCAGCTGATTGGACGTCCGATCCGATCGCCGCGACGTGTAGTAGAACTGGTACAGTGTGACGTCAAGTCCGTTAGTTTCAGCCGCATCTTCGGCACATCGTTTCGTTCGGCGCCTCTCTCTCTCTCTCTCTCAGTGAAGTTTGAACACGCGTGAATTCTCACTCAAACGTGAAAATTAAACGAATAGATTTATCTTGATAGAAATTTTAAGACCGAGGGAGTAACTTTAAACTCCACGTCTATCGACCAATAGCGTACCAATGATAAGGTGTTCCTCCCATTGGTAGGAGGTAGAAGCCATTTCGTGTGCGTTCGAGAACAGTGAGTGATTTGAAAAGCACCATATTCGCGGAGAGTTCACGAGGAAAAAAAAAATTATATTGCTCATAACAGCGAGGTACACGGTTTGCGCACCAGGCAGCATTAAGACGGTAAATATATGTTATACGTATATACCTATATAATTATATTTAACACTCCCATAGAGCGACTGTATTACTGGCTACTGCAAAATTATAGCGTGAGCAATAATTATATCATTTGACACTGTAGTTATATGTACCGAATCGAAGGAATTTTATGTCAAGATATATAGCTCTCGTACGATAATAGACATTATATACTTTATTAAATATAATAAACTCGATGCTAGAATATACGTTTTTGGTATGTTTTTGGCTGTTCGACACACTTTGCTCGCTATTGTTTGTGAAGCAACGTAGAACATTACGATTGCCTTGATTATTCATCGTGAAAGAAGCAAAGAACTCGTTGTTATATCGTTAATAAATTTTAGTTTATAAAAATGGCTGTATCGTCGGAAGATGTTATAAATACGGATCTCAATGATCCTGTTACAAAGGCAGTGGTTGATAATATAATGGGCAATTTGCCTACCAAGAAGCCTCTTGTACGTTGTGAAGACTGTGACCTTTCCTTCACAAGCCAAACAGTATTAGATACACATTTACAAGGTGCACGTCATGCCAAACAGGTTAGCCATGAGAACAGATACATATGATATGTCTTATGTACAAGTTATGTATTATTTAAGATCATTTTACAGTTAAGATCAAAGAACATAATGGCATCACTCGAAGAGACAAAAATCGGATTTACAAAGGATGAAGAAACAAATGGGTTGAAATGCAATGTATGTAATGTGTGTCTGAATTCTATACAACAGTTACAAACACATCTCAATGGTAATGAACATCAAATGTTGCTTATGATATATATATATATATATATATATATTGTATGAATTTTTACAGTGGAACATTTAAAATATATTAAAAATTAAGTACATATAAATTGATATATAAATCTTATATTTGCAGGGAGCCGTCATAAAAAGAAATTAATGAGAGGTAATAATAAATCTTATATGGTAAGAAAAGCATTGCCATATGGTGTTAGAAATAGTCGCTTAACATATCTGGAAAAGATAGAGAAACATGCTACTGTACTCATTTATAGTTTAGTATTGTTCACATTTGCATGCTTGACGCTAATTGTCACTTTTGCTTTTCAACTCTTTGTATAAATTACATATAACTGTCAAAATTAACTGCTTGCCACTTGCATAGCTTACACTATTGTATAATTCAGTGCTAGTAAGTGCTTATGATTGCAATTCATCGCTATCATGCGTTATTATGTTATTTATTTAGTATTTAATGTTCATCTAAATAAGTATTATATATTTATTATTCAATTGCTTACTAACATATTATTGTGAAAAGCAATTAAAACAGACTTGTTCGCTTATATGTTACTTACGCGCCTATACTGAATAAGTTATGTACGTAGTTGACAACACCCTTCAACTACGTTCCATGTACAGGTATTATATATATATATATACACTTACATTATATTGTTTGCTAGTATTATATTATACATATATACCTTTGTATTATTTTGTAATAATTATGCTCTTTGATTGCTTTTTTATACAATATGCGAAATATTTTATGACGGAAAATAAACCAGAGTAACATATACTTTAAGCCATTACAGCACACATTAGTGTTGCATCTTTTTTTTTATAATTTTCACTTCAATTCCTTAAATTGTTTAAAGATGTAATGAACATGAACAAATTAGGTATATCTTAATGATGAGATACATCTATTGTTTCTTCCTTTTTTTTTTTTTTTTTTTTTTCTTATATTCGCTGTTAGGTACTTATTAATAATCAATCTTTTTATGGCATGAATGTAGTGTTCAAGCTGATTTATTATCACATATCTCCGCTTCTGCGGTTGTGATACATAGATAGTGTTGATCGTACATTGATGCTTAGGTGGATGGGATGGCAAAGAGGTTGTCAGCCAAGGCACTTCATTGGCATCATCGACCAATAATGAACAGCAGCCTACGAAAGGTCCTATGAAAGGGGTTTCTCTTAACTGCGATATATGTATTAAATTCTTCAATTCCCCGACTCAATACAATATGGTACAATAATATATGATTGCTCATATAATGTAGTACAATATTATTACACACGCACACACATACACACACACACCCAGATATATATATATATACATATAAACACACATCTTTTCTTACTCCATTATAATACTTCACACCTAAATTTTCGCTAAAACACAAACAATATTTCTATTGATTAATCTTCAAAACACATTGCTTCGTTCAATTCACAACATATAGACACAGAGTGCACTACATAATGTATCATATATTTAACATTTAATATTGCAATTTATATATTTGCAGCATATGAATTCGGAAAAGCATGCTGAAAAGCTGAGGAGAGTTAAGAATCCGAACAAGAAAAGATTTGTTCCATATTGGAAAAAAACGAAACCATATACAACTGTTAAAAGTGAAATACAACCGTTGTCAAACAACTATGTTTCAGGAGGTTTCATGTACCAACAGTAGGGTATTTATTGAATAACCCGTGCAATATATATTTGCTTTCGATTATACATTAGCAGAATATGTTTATCATTCTATCAATTAATGATTATGGTTATACATTTATTTATTTACGCAAACGTAAATATTATTTGAATTTTCAAGGCAAAAGAAACCTTATACAGCTATTCCGTATGAAAACACCGATTATTTCATGTATATGTTAATCGATCGTGTTGATGTCATTAATGTTAGACAAAGTTGGAATGTACAAAAGATATCCAAAAACCAGCATTGCAATTACAAGAAACATAGCTTACTAATTATAATTTGACTTGATATATGACTTATGTGTATGTACATTGTATTTGAATCATGTTAAAAATTATACACTAAATTTAATGATTCACATACATCAAAGCCTGTTCATTCATGACAAACTATTCTAAGTCATTTCACAAACTGGCTGCAGGTCATCTTGCGATAAACCAGGCTGAAAAAAATAGAGAATAGTTGATAAGCTTAATTATCTCAGATATTCTTTTCTTCAATGTTTCTTTCCCCACTCAGTACGATAATATGTATTTCTTTTAAACGTTAAAGAAAGTGTACTTTACATTAAGAAAGAAAAGCTCTATATGCTACCTCGATCACGTATGTTTTCAATAAACGACGTAATTCCGCATTTTGTCGTCGTAATGATTCCGTTTCAGTATTTAACTGATGTCGTTCCTTTAATATTTCGTGATATTTTTTAAGTCCAACCAATAAGCCATCCCACAGTCGCTCCTTCTTTATGGGAAAAATTTCAGTATATCGTGCCCAAAAGTTTTTTACATCCTCGCAAGTCATACTTCGTGACACAATTGCTGTTTTTGCTATTAACTTTTCCTGGAAGGTCTGCGGCACTTCTTTGACAAAGTGATATCCTTCTAACAATTCTTGCAAGGCTTTTATGACAAACGTTGTTTCAATTTCCAGCAGGTGTCCTTTATCGCACACCAAACGTTGCTGCATTTGATCGTCATCTGTTTGAAAGAAGACACGTCCTATTACTTTGTCAAAACGAATATATTACGGCAGGAATATCAGTGTTAACTTCTAATTTCTTTCTAAATTCGCAAAAATATTGTTCTTCACAGGTTACGCACCTTTAGTAATGTCGCTAACAGAGTTGACAGAGATCGAAGTACATTCTGCGATAGGAAGTAATGTTTCACTTGAGGAACTGTGAGGCGAAATACTTATAATAGGCGCATCGTCGTTAGGAGTAGATAATTTTTCCTCACAGATTGCTTCTTTCACAGCGGCGATTAGTTTCGCTTCGTCCTCTGTGAATTCCTCAGGAGAGCCGCAGATATTTATTTGTCCAACGCTAATATTTCAGACATTTTTCGTAAAATAATTATCATCACTTTATTACTCCAAATATATACACAGCATATGAATACCTGGTTTTTGGACTGGAAGAGGACGATTTAGTAGATTCATCACGAATAGATTCACTCTTATCCTGGCTTGCACATGTTGGACAATATGCGTAGGGTAAAAAGAAATTCAAGAGGAAGCCGAGCATCTCTTCGGATTTAATACTTAGTGCCTAGTTAGATGACGTGAGATAGCATTATAATAAAATTAAGTAGTAATCATCAGTATATATTAGCATATAAAATACGTATCGTTACCTGAAATATATTAGCTAGTCGTATGACTAACTGATCATTCGTAGTATAAGGTAAAAGCAGTTGGAGCAATTTATCTTCGATCAAATAATCGCAACGATCAGCGATCAGTTTCATTATATGATTCAGTAACCGTCTTTCTAAATTGATTTCCTCAATGGTGCTGACCGGTTTGTAAGATTTACATGTTAATCTTTTTTCAGCAGCCAACTTGTTTTCTTGAATAATGCAGATATGCACGTGAAAACATTTTGAGCGGAACTCGGTTAAAGTTTACTTAATAATCACCTTCTATGGTACATATTACTCTACAATAAGATGGCAGATCTTCTTTCTTCAATAAAGTTTCCTTAGGTAAACTCCATTCCATGCCCAACGCTTGTTCATATATGATCTTGTCAGCGGCTAAAATCTGAAACATTCTTTTTAACGTAACGATATCGTTGAGCAAAATTCAGCACGTACCTTGTTGAGCAATCCATTTGCATTTTTCACGTTCATGTCCCAAATTTGCATATATTTCTTATCATTAATGCTCGTGAAATGATTCGATTTCTCCACTAAGTCCAGAATATTCTTGCGTGCTTTCACAACTTGGTCGGTAAGTCTTTCTATTTCAATTCTTGAGTTTTCTTCTAACTCCACGTAATCTCTTTTCAAAGCATTAATGACATCTTGAAGTCTGAAATGACTGGTCGTTATTAAATAATCCAATATTCTCATCTTTATTTTAGCACTAATACTCCACTTATTAAGCCTCTTCTTCTGCTGATTTTTTACTATAGCATTCTCGTCCTCGCGACGTTTAAGCACGGCATAACTATAATCCAGCTTCTCGATGTTCATGAAACACAGAGCTTTCGTGTTCTGCACCTCTTGCTGAAGCTTCTGAATCTCGAGCTCGAAGGTGATCCTTTGAGTGCGGTATTCTTCCTGGTGCTCAATTATGACTTTCTTCATCTCCTCTTCATAATCGTGTATTATTTCTTTCCGCCTGTCCAATCCCACGAGACTACCTTCTTGTAACTTTTTATACATTGCTTCCCATTTCTCCGTGATATTTTTCAGCAGAACTTTGCGCTCCGACTCGATCACTTTATTGATGAGCGACAGTTCACGTCGGTAGGCTTTAGCCATGAGATTGATCTAAAGAGAATATACAAGGGTAAGATCACGAGTTACAAGATATTACGCATATACATATATGTAACTTGTTTATCCATTCTATCGATCAATAAATCTATGTCCTCGTTCTGACTCTTCTGGTCATCGATGAATTGAAGGTCAGCATTCTCCAATTCTCGTCGCAACTCCGCGATTACGGCGTCCTTCCTCGCCATAATTTCCAAACACTTTGCATTTTGAGCCTCCATCTCCGCGTGTATGTCCAATGGATCCTTAGATGCGAGAATACTCGACCACTTGTCGTTGATCTTCTTGTATCTTCTCGTACATTCCTCATCGTCTTCCTCGAGCTTTCGCAGCAATATTTTCATAATCTCCTGCTCTTTCCTCCGTCGTTGTAATTCTCTAGCATCGTTTGCGATTTTTACGCAAGATACCTGTGCATATAATAATCAAGTTGTATTTTATCAGAGATATTCCTGCGTTGATATCAATATAATATATAGCGAGTACGTATCGCAATTCTTCGGGGAATCTCAGCATGTTCTATAGGCAATTGGCTTCGAATAGATGTGTGTCAGTGTTAAGTGTTTGGAAATCTTTTACCAACCACTTCATCCCCTTCGACTGATAATTTTTCCAAGAGTTCAGAACTAGCGAGAATCTGCTTTTCGGTGAGAGTCCTCTCGACAATTTCCTCCTCTTCATCACGTGTCTGTCTGTCAAATAAATAATAGCTGTGGTGTGGGAATGGTACAAGAAGCATTCTACAAACATGAAATTGGATATTTCCAAATTGCAAAAATTGCAGTAAGAGACAAGATTTATAAAAATATCGGAACATTGTTTTATAATAATAAATATCAGTTACAATAGAAGAGCATATTTAAATCGAGCACACTATACACACCTAAATGTAATTGGACGAATATAAAAAAGAAGGGAAAAAAGTGGATTTTCTCTTACTTAGTTAGCGCCTCTAGACGTCGCTTAATACGAAGTTGGCGCGCTAATTTCCGCTCGTTTGGATCCAACGACGTGACGGATGGCTCCTCCGCGTCTTCCGCAAACTCCGAATATTTGTCATTCATTATTCGTTCTCTCTATGCGCGAACGTTTGTCGTGCTGTGAACTTTAACGATATAAAGGCGAGACGCCTTGCAGCTTAAATTATGCAAATCCCGTGAGATTTTGATTTACGTCGCAGCACGTTAGACTCCGGAGACGATAATATCTGAATAGGCTGAAGAAGAGCGAAAAGAAAGTAACGCGACGGTGGAATGACCTGTCATTCTGAAATATCGAATACACACGTTTGTTTGTTCAATATTCAAACGGACGTTTGTTTCCATGAGCTACGGGATATATCCAACAAGGAAGTAACTTTCAACGCGTGTTTACAGACGCAACGTTTTGTATTTCAGATTATGTCCTCACAACACAAGTCCCAAAATAATCATGTTATCCAATATGTTGCAATGTATACATAATTAACAATCTCGTAATTAGGCGAATAATTACGACATTTAAGTCCGCAGCAGCTACTCACTGCCGTCGGTAAGAGGAAGGATCGACAGTACCGAATAATTCATCACACTTAACAGTCGCCGTGTCGGCCGGCGGCCGACAGATGTCGCCACGCATCGCTTTGCAAGCAACCGCCGCCGGCGAAGGATCTCGCGATTGCGAGAACCGCCGCCATTATCTCACGCCGCAGGTAGCAGAGGGGACACAGCAAGGAACGGGAGTCATCAACGGGGGAAGGAAATCGAACAAAGCCAAAAAGGGCCCTTTCAGGGACAAGTATGATAAATGAACGCGCGGACGGACGCACGCGCTCCGTCATCGCGCGTTATTTCCGCGCCGGGCTTACGTAACGTAAGTACGGCCATTAATTTGGTTCGTCGGCGAGGCGAGTAGACGTATCAGATTTATATTTATCTATCTGGAGCGTGTTGTGTGCGTGTGGATTATACCGAGCAATTAGGCCGCGCTTTGGGTATATTCCGCTTTATCGCGTTTTCGACGCGAAAGAAAGAAGAAAAGAACGAGCCGCTCGCACGGAGAGACTCGCAGAGACGACGAGCGCTCTCGTCGTTGTTTTATATCCGCTCGTACATCGCTCAGCCGTGTGTCGTAACCTTGTCGCAGCGTAGGTTACAAGCGGTTTAATGACGAACACAAAAAAAATAGCTTTATCCAATGCAGTCGTAAGTGCTATTATCAATCGTCGCGATAGCCGGAATAATTGTAGCGAAACCGCCGCTAGGCCGCTCTCGGCTTGGCCAGTCGCGTCACCTTCATGACTCGATAACGGCACAACGGACGCGTATATGTCTTGATTTATGCGCACTGTGAATTGAGACGTACGTACGCGCACTTACCTACGTGCATACACGGTGAATTAAAAAACATTACGGCGATTCACGGACGCGTGCGTGCGTGCGTGCGTGCGCGCGCGCGCATGTGTGCGTCGTGATTTTAGATTATTAAGGTCGATTCACACTATATGGCACGGACCGTCGCGCGTACCGGCACCGATACAAACGATACCGACACGACAAAACTTTAAAACACGCGTTTTAATGAAACTACACTAATCAACATCGACCTGCACGTTCCGTCAACGGGACGTACCGACACCGACCGACATTCTCGCAAACAATGTTTTGACCGGTGCGTGTCGGTACGTGTCGGTGCTGGTACGCTAGTCTGAATCAGTAAGCGGCAGAGAACGGACGCAGCAGAGGATGGAACAGGAAAAATTAATTGAAAATGTTAAGGCCTATGAGCCATTATATGTCATAAGCCATCCAAAATATAGTGATACTAGATTCAAAGAAAATATTTGGAAAGAAATTGCGAAGGGAATGAGCCAGCCAGGTAAGATATATATAATTTATCCTATTTATAAACTAGCTTTTAATTTATTGCGTCTTGTCATTCAACACGGCTGTGTTCTGTGATGAAAAACAGCAAATGCAGTATTTACAGCATTTCCCTCTTGTCGTGGTAAATTTTCCAAACTAGTATCAGTGCTATGATTATCTTGTATATTAATATCTTGCAAAATCTTTTATATTAATACTGCAGTCTCGAAGATAATTGTGCAAAATATATGTAGGCAAAATGATTTTATCTGCATTTTCTGGTTTTAACTTCAGTCTTCGATTATAAAGCTGAAATTTTTGGCTCAGTGTTTCGAACACATTTTCCCAAATTGTTCGCGCGCGTGAGAGACGGTAGTTGAAAATTCTTTTTGATCTATCTCCCTGAAATTACGAGCCAGGATAGGGTCTCAATAAATATTTTTTTAACGGAAATGTCTCATCGCCAATTATGACATAAGGCATAATGGTCTGCGTATTAGGGAGTGCATTGTCTTTCGGGACATTTAATTTATTCCTTTCAAGAGCTTTGTCCAATTTAGAATTGGCAAATAGGCCACCGTCGCTATTTCTACCATATCCGCCTATGTCTACTGCGATTAATTTATAATGTGCATCCACCAATGCTAAGAGGACAATGGGAAATGAGTTTTCTTGTAATTAAAAAATTGAGATTCACTGTTTGCGGGAGCTTAAATGATCACACGTTTCCCGTCGAGAGAGCGCCGATACAGTTAGAAAAATTCCAAATGTCCCAAAATTCTTCGGCAAATTTTTTCCATTTATCTGCTGTAGGCTTTAACACTGTTAATAGCATTAAATGGCTCATTCTTTTCCTCAATTGCACTATGGTTATCTGTCTATATTTTGTCAATTTTTATACAAATGTTGTTCGTTTTTTTTCAGTGGCTGTTTGTAAAAAAACATGGACAAATCTGCGAGACTCTTTCAGAAGGGCTTTGAAAAAAAAACGTAAAATAAAAAGTGGACAGGCTGCCTCAAAAATAAAAAAATGGAGATTTGAAGATGAAATGTCGTTTCTATTACCATTTATGCAAGAAAGAGACACATGTAGTAATTTGGAAGATATTAGTGATGATGATAATGAGAATGAACTGAATGAAGACGAATATGATGATAAAAACGATGATAGAGGAGATGATCAAAACGATAATAGAGGAGATGATCGAAACAACGATAAAGGAGATGATCGGAATGGTAATAAGAATGACGATGACAAAGATGATGATGTGGATGAGGAGTTACATATTGAGAATGAAAAGAAGAAAAAAGAAGAAGTCAACAGAAAAATCATTAACGTAGCTAGGAATAAGGGAAAGAGATATCAAACACAAGCAGAAACGGCATCACCAGTAATGATGAAATATATGTTAGATAAAAAAACTGCTAAAGAGCAGATAACTCGACCGAGTCAACAATCCAGTGCAGTAGACACATTTTTTGCGAGTATTGCATTAACAGTAAAGAGTTTTTCTCCTTATTATCAAAATATAGCGAAATCACAAATATTCTCCATTATCAGTAACCTTGAAATGAAGCAAATTATGCAAGAACAACCAGTTTTCGTACCTAACTCACCTACACCCACACAACGTTGACATTCTACATCACTATTTACATTCTACCATCACTATCGTCATCAACAATACCAACTATATATCCGTCTTCAAGAATCGCAAACTCCAATTCCGTCGCCATCATATTATGATTTCCCGACGATAATTTCAATGCCACATTTAAACGAAGAAACAGGATATACGGAGAATATGAACATGTAAATTGAATAAAAAATGTTTAATATAAATAAAAATGTTAAACAAACTGCAAGTCTTTCTGTCGGTGAAATTGCCTCACGGAACGATGCATTTTATTTTTGTAACACAATTAATTTTAACAAATCATAGAATTTGCGGCATTCTAAAATACTCATAAAACTTGTCGTCTTTTATTTTAGTAAGTCTTTGAACAATGTCTAATGTTCTCCTTCAAGTTTTCTCTTTTTTAACATTGGATGTACCCATTTTCGATTTCTTTTTTTCATTTTTTCCAGTTCAGCTTCCTCTTCGTCTAAAAGTAAGGCCGTAAGAGCCAATTCATCGTTGTTGGATGATCCATCTGCTAAATGTGTGACTGATGAACGGTTACTGAAACAGCCTAAACATATGCATTAATTTGTCGTGTCGGTGCCGGTACGCGACGGTCCGTGCCGTATAGTGTGAATCGACCTTTAACGTCACGCGGGACACGTCCCCGTTTCTTCCTTTCGATTCGACGTCCGATCACTAATGCCCTACGCCGCCGATTTTATTGACTGCCATCGTGCCGAATGACGAGTAAATTATCGCGACGATAATGCATTATCGCGATGAGGACGGATCGTAACGAAACGGCGATGAGCCGTTATTGATGTTAAGCAATGTCCAGACAACAATAGCGTCATGTGTCTTGTATTTTACATACATATTGTATAAGCGAGGTAGCCGAGCGACAGGAGAATTTAATAAATACATACAAGAGGTAAGGAAAGAACGAAAAATCGAAAGAGTGAATATTTCTCTGCTTGTGTCTTTGCGGGATTTCTCAGAGGTTTCACAATTCTAATGAGGAAAATACGAGACACAGAGAGAGAGAGAGAGAGAGAGAGAGAGAGAGAGAGAGAGAGACAAGAGAAGAATATAACACTTGAGTAATATCCCATATTGAAAGTAGATTTCACTGCACCAAGTGAATACTACATTGAATGACCGAAACGAGTATCGAGTCGGCTGTAAATCTCGTTATTTTCTCGAAGTCTCGTTCGAGCTGGAAAATCTTGATAATCAGAAGCTAAATATCCAATGCAGAATCAATTGCATAAAAACGAAAATTTTTATGCGCTGATATGTTCGTTGAATCTCATTTTGCGCGATTTATAATCCGCGACAGAATTCTACTTACAAGTTCATATGTTGCGCAATACAGACAACATTTGGAGATTTATAAATGTGTTTACATTATAAGATATATATGCTTATTTACATGTAATACTTGATCAAAGATAAATATGAACACAATCATCGGCTATTCCGGCGATTATTTTACGATTGTCAAGAGTCACTCGACGATAGATCTTTAAACGTGTGCTTCAGAATAAAGTTTCTTTTTATGACGCGTCGAGTACGAGTATTTAACTAACTACATGTAAAATTACTTGAATCGCCTTGCAATATTTATATCTTTCAAACGTTTCTTTTCTACAAAATAGAATTCTGTCGTATGTCGATATGCTCGATACGTTAATGCATATTGTCGTTGATATTGAAAAATTAACGCGTCATCACGGATATCATGACGTGAGAAAATATCTTTGCATCGTCGTCCAGAGAATGTTGAAGAGGATCAAAGCCCGTCGAAATAATAGCAATTTGCATAAAATATCGCCGAATATCGGCCGAGAAATCATGCGAGGCATCACACGAACGCACAAGGCACACGAACGCAAATCGTCCACGAAACCGTAACGCGACGCGTTACGCTCCGAATTCGACTCGACGGCGGTTGCCGTTTTCGGGCGAAGCGGCGGCGGTGACGACTTGGACTTGCAACGGAAATCGCTTTCTCTCTAGTCGAGCAACGTCCTGCGGTCACACGAACGGACGTTACTGCCGTTGCGAGCCGATGTCGCGTAACGTACGACATGCGAACGTGGACGACGATCGCTCGCTTCTCTCGCGACCAACCCAACGATCGTACGAAGCATAGCATAAAGACGCTCCGGACACGATGCCTCGCCTCGCCTCGGTGAGGAGACCAAAATGGCGACGGTGCTGCAGGCATGCAGCTAGCGCATTGTTCGCCCCGAACAATTCACGGACCGTCCATTCGCGGACTGTCCTGTCTAATGTAATGTCCACTTTAGAAGACCGACGGGATTCGAGATGGAATTCTACTCTTGTAACCGTGTATCTTATATACGATACAAAAAATACCTGATTTATAGATTTATATTTATATTTGTAGATATATACAAGTTTCTGTAAATTCAGTTGCAGATATATTTACGATAAGCCAGACTCTTCAAGTGTTTTCTCATAAAATAGATTCTTGTTTTACTCAGTTCTACTTTACGAATTATATATAAGTCGTTTAAATAATAGAATTAATTGTAAATGTTGGCAAAAGGTATTTCACTGTCTTACGTTCTTAGCTGTATCGAAATGAGATTGAACGTGATACGCAATCATTCAGTTACTGTGTACTAAATTTATATATTTAAATATCTACCTCTCATATGTTGTAATAGATACTATCTTCGAAACAAAAAAGTACGGGCTTTATCTTTGAAATCAATTTTGTAATTATATGAGAAATCGAGACTTAATAATTAATTAGATATAATTATCAGTTATCGACGGTTTTGCAAATTGCCAAAATTGTTGTTTGGTACATTTATGTTCTCAGACATTTTTGAACATGTAGCCTGAATAATCCTCTTCCACAATATTGAATACAAATATTTAATTTCATAAGATATGTACGTATTTAAATAAATCCATGTACAACTTGAATAAATTCTTTAATGCATAAGTGTCAGACCTTGCTACACGTTCTTCAGCGGTCACAAGATGCGACTTGAAAATTAAGAATCCGCGGTTCGTGAGAGATTGAGAATTGTATTCGAAGAGAAGACACACCGGGCGCTTTATTCGTCATAATACCCATGTTTTTCACGAGAGTCAACAACTCGACTTCCAGCAACGAGACTCTCGTTATAAAGAGCTCTGAATCCTTATCCTAGTCGGCGTACCGAATCTATGCCGTTTATGCGGAAAACGCTTATCCACGCGCACGCCTCATTAACCCGTACGCGCGTTATCGAGCTGGCACGTTTGTTTGATCGTTACTTCCTTGATTAGAGAGAACGTCACGAAGTTAAGTACTTTTATTTTCGTAATAATCCGATTGTCCGTCTTTATTCTCGGTAGAAAGTACCGATGCCCCGGGTAATTGGCTGCCCCTAAACCGGCCCTGGAGCAAGAGAGAGAGAGAGAGAGAGAGAGAGAAAGAGAGAGAAGGGCGCGTGGAAGCGAGCAGGAAAAAGCTGAAGCGAGACAGAAAGAGAGAAAGAGGAACGGACAACGCGTAACAAAGATGGCGGATAGATTCGACTCGATGGAGACGACGGTGGTGGTGGTGGTAGCAAGAGGAAGAGGACGGATGACTTACGCGGAGTAGGAGTCGGCGGTACGGAGGGTGGAACGAACGGCGGGGAAAAGAACGGTCGTAAGAGCGAGAGAGAGAGAACGAGGATCAGACACAGGGAGGAAAGAGGAGCAGGACGAAAAGGGACGAGAGAGGCTCAGGGGTTCGCGGGTTAGCTCGTTCGACCCGTTATCCCTTCTCTCCCGCGAGTCCCGCGGATCCCCCTTCCCCTGTCCTTGCTTCGATTCGAACGAGTTCCCCCCACTCCGCGGCCTAAGGCACGCGAGCGCGCGCGAGCACGCGCGCGCGCGCAACGTTTTCTCTCCCCGTTTTCCCCCTGTTCCCTACTTCGCCGCCACCACGCCTGGCGGCCAACGATCGCGATGAGCCGGCCTCTCTCTAGAGTAGACTCGTTCCGTTCCCCTACTTAGTCGCCCCACCAGGCGACCGGACAGCCGTACTAGCTAGCGAGCCTCGATACGCTCCCGCCACGGTGACGTCACTCCGAGTAGTGTAGTGCAGTGAGGAGGAGCCAAAGTAAGCTCCGTTCGTGTTATATGTCCGAGTGTTCAAAGCGAGTGAATTTTCAAGACGTATGTACTACTGCGATCTGTTTTAAAACGGCAACACCAGCAGTGTGAGTAAGCTCATTACGTGCGTAATCACCGTGCATGTACGTACGCATACATACGTACGCGCACGCGTGGCATTCGGCTCATTGTACACGGTAATGATACATGCAGTCGAGGGTCGCGCGCCGAAATTACCTGCTCGCCGCGTCATTGTGTCGTGGCGGTTTGATCCTTGACGAGAAAGAGGCCTGCCCGATGTTTTCGCTCGGAGGAGGCGGAGCGTGCGAGTAACACGGGTATCGATGTATCGATACATCGTTCAATCCGATACGTGCGTGTGTACGTGATGCTCGGGCCGCGACAAGTATAAGCCAGTGGTGTGAAAGAAAGAAAAAAAAAGATAAAATTGTCCAGGAGTGATTGTATACCTATATATATATATATATACACACACATATACATATACATATATACTCGGAAACAGGGTATATGTATATGCGTCTGCGATACGTGCGCGTATGTACATGTATCCCGAATGCATGCGTGTGTAACACGGGCGTATAGATGTGCACGAGTGCCGTCGTCATCGTCGTCGTCGTCGTCGTCGTCGTCGTTGTTTCGCATCTCGGATAAGATCCGCTGCGCGAGATATAAAGCAGTCGGCGAGAGGAAGAGGAAACGACTGTGCCGTTTCACCGCGTTCGAATTGATTCGCGTTATCAACAGTGGGTCACACATTCGCGGCGCGCGCGCGCGCGCGCGCTCCGACATTCGGAACGACGAAAGAACGGGAAGAGAGTTCTCTTCTCGCCGCGAGCGGCACGTTTAGGCCAGCCTCGACATCCGGTATCGCCTCCGTGCTGTGTGTCGTCTTGTCGTGCCCGTGCCACGTGTTGTGCCGTGCTGTGTCGTGGCGTGACGCGACGCGACGCGACGTGACGTGACGTGACGTGACGTGACGTGACGTGAGCTGTGTCATTCCCGGCTCCGAAAGCCGAGACGAAGCGAGGCGAATCTACGTGCGTGTTCAGAAGAAGCAAGCATCGGCGATACGATACGCGCGCGCGAGTGAACGTGCGAATCCCGAAAAGGAGAGAAAAAAGAGAGAGAGAGAGAGAGAGGGGAAGAGAAAGAGAAAAATTACGAGCCCACCGCCGCGAGATGGATCACCCGTGCTGTACCGTGCCGGGTGGAAGTGCTCGTGTGACGTGACGTGGTGATTACGAGAAGAAGCAGTATCCCCCATATCGCGATTCAGTGATGTACCATGTGGTGGGCTTCAGCGATCTTGATCCTCGCAATCATCATTACAGTCAGCGGTGCCCGCTATCTAGGCTCCCGTTTACCGTCCTCTGCCGCCATCAGCTACTCCTGCTCCTCCATCATCTCCTTCTCCACGTCGACGTGCCCGCTATACGTCGCACAGCGAAAGTTTGATCGCGAGGACCCCGTCGTCATTGCCGATTTTACGGCGGTGATCGTCGCCGTAGCTATCATCGTAAACGTTGCTGCTAGAACGCATGCACGAGCGATCGTTCTTCCAACGTGTCGCATCCTCGACGACGGCGATCGGCCCTGCCTGTTGGGCACCTCACCTCTTCCTGGCTACTGACTAGTGATTGATCATTTATCTGTGTCGTGTGTTCTCTTTCTGGTAAAAAGGCGGAGGGAGATGTGCGGATACCGTGCGAATTAAATGAGCATAAAAAGAGCGGCGAGTGACAAGTGAGAAAGAGGGTGTGATATATATACATATATGTATATGTATATATATATATATATATACATACACACACATACATACATATATATATATATATAACATACATATACGTATATATAGCTTTCGAGAGCGAATTTTTTTTCACTCCACCGTGAGAAAGTTTCTACCGTTGCTACGTTCCATTTTGTTGCAGTGGATGTAACGCGTAACGATCGTGCATCCGACGACACGTGTGCGTTCCGTGCGTTACCCCCTTGACAAAAGAAACGGAAGAAAAAGAACGAGCGAAGGAAGAGAGGTCATTATTGTCTCTCTGTGTGCTGTGTACAATTCATTCTCTATACCTGGACGGAGACAGAGCGAAAACAGAAGCGAAGGAGTTTGGTGGCAGAGTTCCTAGAGCTGGAGAAGGGCGAAGAGGAAAGGAGAAGTGCGCGAGAACCAACAGCTTGCTCGAGTTGTCCGTAAAATAATTCGTGCCGGGTGTGTTGGTGTAGTGTGCGGTGATTACTATCGCCGGTCGAGGTTGTGTGTCGTACAGTGCCTCCAAACGATACCACAACATCCGGTCCCAAATGAAGAGTTCGGAGCAAAATGGTTAGAGAGACACGTCACCTGTGGGTTGGAAATCTGCCGGAAAACATCCGTGAGGATCGCATCAGGGAGCATTTTAAACGGTAAGTTGAGAACCACCGCGATAACACGCAGCCCGACGTTGCTTAAACCTTTCGCGATCAATGGGGACGTGTATGTTCCAGCTTTAAGTCTATCGCTCGTAAATCGTGTTCCGCGTTACATAGATCACACACACAGATAGACGAAGCCGGTCCATCACAATCGAGAGACACGATAGCGCCTCTCGCAATGTGCATCTAATGTGTATTCTCACGAGAGAGGCTATTGTGTATATTCTTTGCACGCGCGAACGGCAATTTCTTTTTTCTGGAAATAAGCTGACGTTTTCTTTTTTCCACGTTCCACACTGGAACAGAAAAATGTATGATAATTGAAGCTGTAATGGCATGCTAAAAATATAGTTAGAAATACTATATTTATGGTAAGTGTTATCATAATTGTGCTAGTAATCGTAATATATGCATGGCCAACCTATGATAAATATTTTTTATAATAAATTATGATGTTAACTATAAATATATAGAAATTATATATATATATATATATAAAATGGCGATGTATATAATGAATGCAATCATATAACGTATGACAAATATTGCTATATTCTTATACAACATTTCATTACACTTGATAATAACGAAGAAAGTAGTAAAAGGAACAATCATTTGTAAAGAAACGTTCTAATAACCATATTAATGTTATATTTGATTATACCCGTAACTGGTAAATTATCATACATTTAATGAACAAAATTTGGAAATATTACTCTATGAAAAATGTAAACTTTGGTTACATATGCTGCATGTCTAACAAAGGGGAGTCAACTTTAAACACAAAACGTTCTATCACTTCCCATATACTCATTCTTCAGTATACTTTAATTTCATTTTTTCTCAATTAACATTTTCTCAATTATTTACTTTTTGTATCATTGAATGATATTAGCCTCTTAACTGCGGCGATTTCAACTGAGAATCGCCCGCTGTATGCAGCATTCGCTTGTCACGTCACCGAAGGTGCTCGAGTAATCGACGCGCTTTATATAAAGCATTGAATATATCATACAATAAATAAAATAAAATATACATGCAAGGCGCGTATATTTTATTTATTTATTATATAGACGTATATGCCCATAGCAGTTAAAAAGTTAAAAATTATATAACTGCGCTGGTTACAACATGTATAAATAAACACTCAACAATGCACATCAACAGTAGAGTTTTAGCGTAGTGTGTGAGGTGCCCTTAAGATTTAAAAAAAAGATTTCTTTTTCTTTTTATGCAGTCGCATACAACTGTCTTTTTTGCATACTTTAAATTTCATCGCATTCTAAAATTACAAAAATTATCTGAATGATAACGAATACGAAAAAGGCACATATAGAGTTAATTACGCGCTTGCTACGCATGAACCGGACAGGTATATTCCGTCGAGCACTTCGGGACAGTTATAAATCAGTTGTAGAATTTTAACTCCGTACAATTATTCCTCGAAAAATTTCACAAAATGTGAGGTGTAAAACGTGTGACCACAAACAATAACATTTTACGTATTACAATTGCTGTGCAATTCGGAGCTTAAGATGGCTGTTAAATTTACAGTCCATATATTTATAATATCTATATGTGTACAATTTTTTATTCTTATTTTATTTAACGCAATATATAATAGTAGTTGTACTAGTAGTAATAGTAGTAGTAGTAGCAATAATAGTACCACTTGGCTAAATATGGTCACCGCAATAAAATATTAATGTTATTTATCGCTCATGCATACAACAAAGTTGTAGAAACCATAGTACTCTGGAAATGACCTGCATGCCCCAACCTCAATGAAGGTAACCGCTATATGAGTATTACAACTGTATGACATTGATAATACATCACAATTTGGAAATATCTGCATTGGATATTGATAAAATACGTTTTCGAGCATTGTCCTGGAAAGGAAGTGCACTTTTTAAACAACTGACTGTGAAGAGAACTATATAGGTGGACGTATAACAATAGCAACTTTTAATACAATATCTATTTAATTGAATTTACATCCATTTGTTCTGTAACCATGTGTAGAGAATGTGGATGTAACAATTTTCTTCCTGTACATCCGCTGTTACAATTCGCGATTTAGTTGATATTTGAACCGCGGAATCTTAATATATAAATGGGAACGAAGCTAGACTTCGATATTGCGATTGATGACTATTAAAAGATTGATTGATGACTATTGAAAGATTGCGGCATGATTGAAGTATTTTTAGGCTAGAATGGTTTGGTTGTAGGCTAGGATGCTTGAAATGAAGGTCGAAGCGTTTTTAACGGTATCGGAATATGAATTCGGCAATCGAGGGTCGCAAAGGTCATCTTATCTTAGGTGACGCCGCTTAGGCGTACGTGGTTATTCGTCTGAGATCTATATCTACATATTTAGTTATATTTCTCTATTTTGATATCTACAACTGTAGCTATTGCAGAAAGCGTATCCATTACAACACTGTTTTCAACAGTGTGTATCACTTCGAATAATGTAAATATCAAAAGAACTACATTAAGAGAACTTTCCAATCTAGAAACATTACAAGTAAACTGAAATCTTAGGAACATTAGAAACAAACAAAAACTTAAGTCCAAGCCGGAAGCCAAAGCGTTTCTCCACACAGCGAAAGCTTAAAAATATCAAACTTTCCACTCGTTTCGGATACGCGGCAGAACAATTGACAAACAACAAAATAATTCCAACTGGAAACGTTTCCGAACGATTTCTCTCAATAGCTCCCGAAATCTCGCAAGTTTTTCTCTAATTTACTGTCTATGACTTTCTCTTCCTTATTAAAGTATTTAAATCTGAATGAATAATGGGTCGTTTAAAAGCTATAAATTAAGAAAGTTCAGTCCCTTTGCTCGACGTTTTTTATTACCGTGTTAAGTGCGGTACAAAAACTTCAATTACATCTTTGTTATTGCGTCGAAGCAGGATTTACCTCTGATATATTTATTCTCTAAACTATTTGAGACAGAAAAAAGAGGGTACTACGGCTGGGTCTAGGAATAAGCTTAGTCAACTGTTGTAAACATATTCGAGTTTACCCTGTCTCCCGACACGGTCAATTTTCACCGAGGATTCTCTGCATTTCATCCAGCATTTTATGTCCCAACTTTCCTCTTTACCTTTCTTCGGAACCTCTGTGCCTTTCTTCGGAACCTTTTCCTCTCGCACATGTTGTACACAAGCGCGCGTTTATCACGCACACATCTACGCACAAATATTACTTATAGACGTACATACACGGGAAAGAAAGAGGAAAGTCGAAATTCGCATGGGTATCGCTTTATTTACAGGCTTGTTTTTGTTTTCGCACGAATCGCGTTGGCATTATCGTTTCGATAAACCTTCGAGTTTCAGGAAACATGTAAGGTATCCCAATGTTTTCGGTACGGTCTATAGTGCGCAAGGATACGTCGAAGATGAGAAAGAGAGAGAGAGAGAGAGAGAGGAAAAAGGGGAGGTAAAGAGAGAAGCAGAGAGAGAGGGAGAGAGAGAGGGAGAGAGAGAGAGAGAGAGAGAGAGAGAGAGAGAGAGAGAGAGAGAGAGAGAGAGACGACGGCCAGCTTGGAGTGTCGCGCGCGCGCGCGAGTATATACGCGCACCCACACGATCTCTCGTGCATACCGTGATACGTTATACCGAGGGCCTTGGCTCTCTGTCTCTCCTCTCCTCTTCACGTAGCATAAGCGCGCGCCGTCATTTGTTTTTTCCCCGAAGTAATAATAGCTGAGGACAGCCATTTTGAGAGCTCGCAGCAGTACGAAGTTATTGTTCGATAGTGACGCTCAACACGCGGCTCCGCGCGCGCGCGCGCGCCGTCGTATCGCTTCGATCTTATCTCCGAGCGTATCTCATTCTGAGGTTCGTTTTCTTTTTTAAATGCTGGTTTCTCTGCGATTTTTCTCTGTTTCTCTCTCTCTCTCTCTCTCTCTCGAGTCGCGAGAGCAATTCGCATTTTCAGTGCGGCGACAGCCCCCTCCCCCCTCCCCGAGCGGTGAACAATGGAGAAAACACTGCAGATGCGTTTAGCTCTTATTCTCGCCTAGTTTCCTTCAAATTGCATATCTCGGGAACCTTCGTGCAACCTTATTATGCAAATATCGTATTAGGTTCCATTTCGCAAAGATCGAAATAATATATTTCTGGCGATAAATATTTTCGCTGTTGCGCTGAAGTTTAATCAGCTAATGACTTCAACTTTAACTGCAAGCATGCGACGTTGGCTAGCCCCATTTCAAAGAGACAGTTTGGCTGCATACGTCAAGCTACACGTCAAGCTTTTTCTGCTAAATCGCTTTTTCCCTGAGTGCGAATGATTATCGTACAAATTTGCGCGACAACCTACATTATATTGCTTAAATTTAACGAGACTCCAATGGCTGAAAGAAATCGCATTTCTTTCTCATTCTGCTTCGAATACAAACAAGCCATCTTTCTCTCCTTTCAACTCCGTTTTTAATTCTCAATTTCCAGCTTCGATCAATCTATCGTAATCAAAGTGTGCGAACGTTCGGTTCGCGTGAACGTCTCATTAGACTCCCCCCCCCCGTTCCCAAATTTCTTTGTGGACTACCACACCGTCAGGTTGCTCATTCTTCCCTGAAGTAACAGGCTGTGAAATGTCAGCGTTTGAAACCAATCCAAAAAAGACACGTCCTCAACCCGGAAGCCGAACTCAGCAATGCCACAGAATTCGAAGGAGGCGCATTCATCGACGTTTCTCCACGCGATACGCAACGTACGTGCGCAAGAACGGTTACATTTACAATTCGCTCTTGCTACGCGCGAACGCGCGCGCACACACACACACACACATGTGCGCGCGCGCGCGCGCGCAGTCGCCGGTACACAAGCCGCTCAGATTATATTTACAATTTGCATACGTGAAGGCATATATTGACAGAGTCGCAAGGATATATACGTGGAGCACGGACGGGTGTGCGCGCGCGCGCGCACGCGTATACGTATTTATGTGCGCGCGGGTGCCGGCGTA